TTTACCTGCTAATTTAACAAGATACTGTGCACCCTCAGGTACACAGTATCTTGTTAAATTAGCAGGTAAAGGTTATATTAGGTGCACAGTATCTTGTTAAGTATAACCTTTACCTGCTAATTTAACAAGATACTGTGCACCTAATATAACCTTTACCTGCTAATTTAACAAGAGACAAGATTACATTCACAGAACATGAAAACTAGCAATCTTAAATGTACTTTGACAATCCTTTGAAACAAATTTTAAGCCTAATACATATGACAATACAGAATCACTTGCAGGCAACAACTGCTCAAGTTCTGGATAAAGATATATACAAGGTTTGAAAACAAGCATGCTAAGACTTACAGATATGACATGGTATCCTCTTGCCTAACACAATGACAATACAGAATCACTTGCAGGCAACAACTGCTCAAGTTCTGGATAAAAATATATACAAGGTTTGAAAACAAGCATGCTAAGACTTACAGATATGACACGGTATCCTCTTGCCGTCAAAGCCGTTATCTGGCGAAAAAAACAATCAGCAGTTCCACTAACTGGCGGTAAGCAAATAAGTGGACATGTGATGTTCTTTGGCCCAGCATCATATATTGTCCATACCTTCTTTGCATGTTCATCTGCAACAATCTTGAAGAGAGAAAAAACTAAATGCTAAACAGTTTAAGGTATTGAGTTTCATTTAAGACATTAAACTCCTTTTATATCACGTTATGTCGGATAAAACAAATACCATGTTTAGCATTTACTTTCAATTATTAATGTCCCATAAAAACTTAAACAACTATAATATTCAAATAAAATATCTACAAGTGTCTCAGCTTTTAAACACATGCATGTAAAATCATTTTTCTAATAAATAACACACAATCTGGAATTTTCAAGGCAAGAGCAGTCAACAACTGTTGTTATGGAATGTCATTTAATATATAAAAAGTGAAACCATATTATTTTGTTTAATAAAAACTTATCAATTTAAAGTTCATTTGATTGAAGAGGTTTTATGATAGATGCCACTGGTAAAGACTGTATTTTTGAACTTGTGTTTAGAACTGATATAGATCATTGTATAGTCTGTATCCTAGATTTTAAGTCAGTTATTAATATCGAATAAATTATTAACTTTTAAGATTCAAGGTTAAGTTTTTTTTAATAACTGCATAAAAATTGAAATTGCTTGTTTGCTTTTTTTTTGTAATTAAGCACAAAGCTCCACAAAGGGTTATCTGTGCTCTACCCACTACGGGTATCGAAACCCGGTTTCTAGTAAATTAAAATAGTATATCCTACACTGTGTACTGTTACCTGAATACAGAAAACAAATTCACCTATTATAAAATGTATCAAACACAACAAACATTTTGGACTCGTAAACCAGGTACACACCTTTTTTTGTGGTATGGTGCTCCTAAATCTCACATACTCTGAAGATAATGAAATTTCATCTATAGGTTTACTTTTCAATAAATGTTGCCTAGAAAAGAAAACATCTTGTTTCCTGTATGAATTATATCTCAAACTTACATTGATATATAAAAATGAACCAGTATACACAACTCACACATAAGTACATAGATTCCAACAATACAGTACCTAAAACATACACAAATTACACATAAGTACATAGATTCCAACAATATAGTACCTAAAACATACACAACTCACACACAAGTACATAGATTCCAACAATACAGTACCTAAAACATACACAACTCACACATAAGTACATAGATTCCAACAATACAGTACCTAAAACATACACAACTCACACATAAGTACATAGATTCCAACAATACAGTACCTAAAACATACACAACTCACACATAAGTACTGTGAATGATAGTATGTTTTGTTTGACAGCTATATACATTTGAAAAAAAGCGACATTGTTTTGGTTGGCCATAACTAGATAGATTCAAAGGCCATCTGTCAGGTTTTAATTTTTAAACTTTTTTCTCATGTGTTATATTTGGATAACAAATCTTTTAGGTGTGTTAAGTTACATGTAGCATTGCTCTTGTATTGAGTTGTGTATGTTTTAGGTACTGTATTGTTGGAATCTGTGTACTTATGTGTGAGTTGGGTATGTTTTAGGTACTGTACTGTTGGAATCTGTCGAACTGATTTCACCATATCGTTAGGAAAACCCCTCTCCAAATTTAAACTTACACTTTCTTAAACTTAAACTTTCTCAAAGAACAAGTCAATATTTGTGTTCCTGATGCTCAAATCTCTTACCTCTAATACTCAGTCATTTTTACAGACCTCTTGTTCCACAATAATACAGAACCAGCTCTTAAGAATTCTGGTCACCCAAGTCAAGTCAACTGTGACTCTTATACATATATGCTTTACATAAAAGCCACAAGTATTTAAAATCCCTAATAGAAAATTTCCTTATATAGATTACAATTTTCAAGAAACTGTCTGGCTAGCTATTTTTTCTTCACATTACACTAAATGAATACGTGATTGTACAGGATCTGTGAAATATGTTACCGGAAAAGACTGTATTTTAGACTATACTTAGAGCTCACATAGATGTTTAATAATTTGTCTAGAAAAACATGAGTACTGTCAATCAGAACCTCATTTTCTTTGATGTTTTTAGTTGAAATCAACCTCAGATTTCAAAAGTCATTTCTCAAATTGTAGGAAAACTAACTATTAGAAATCTCACAAACTTACAAAAGAGAAAGATCGGGTGCCAAATCTAATTGGGAAAATATTAGTGGAACAGGATTCTCATGACCTAATCTAGTCCATATTCGAGCAGGAAGGGGGTGTACGAAACCCCAAACTCGTAGAAAAAAGAAATTATTTTCATTTGTTTCTAGTGAATCATTGAATGTATCTCACAAGGATATATTTCAAATTAAGATATAAATTCATGTATTATTCAAGTATCGTTCAGATAATCCGGTATAACAATCCAACAGATATCACTAACACTGGTTAAATTTAGTTTTTGTACGACAATTCCGGTGTCCAACAATTTCCATCTTAAAACTGATCTAACTTACAGAACAAAATCAAACAGTTTATGATTTTACAACAGATCTGTTATGATTTAGAAACTGACTTGTTTCTTGCTAGCATTTACTTTGTTGATTATCATAATTATCAAGAACTAACATATCTGTATTTGTTAAATGTGGTTTATCAGGCAATTCATGAAGACTTTTCTTCCGTCCATCATCTTAATATCAACAAATTTTGAAAAGCAAACTAATGACAGTTTAGTACATCTGTATTGCTTTTATCGTACTTGTATTTTCATTAAGTTTGTATATGCATGGATTATGCATATAATAGATAATTCTGTACAAGAAACACTACTTAAAGGTATCTCAGCTTGATCTATGTGACTAATTCACAACTTGCTAGTACCAAGATCCCTATTTTGCAGCTACACTGGAGAAAACTAACTGTATAATAAAGTGTATTTTAATGAGAAAATCACATATTTATCAAAATGTTTCTTTAATTCAAGGCTGCCTTACTATATTTAATATAAAGTTTCAA